GGGCGGGGCGATTGGTGAGCCAGCCAATCAGTGAGCGGTGGGCGGGGCAAGCATGGTGCGGACGGGTGGGGGGAGGGAGCTGGAACCAGTTCTAAAAGGCACGGTAAATTTGTGGAACCTCTTCTATAGAAGAGGTTAGAACTGGTAGGAACCCACCCCTGGTTCAGTGTAATATGGTTAAGCATTTGGGAATCAAAGCAGAAGGCTCCATATTCCCACATTCCTATGTAATTGGCAACAGGCCTTAACCAGCGTGTACTTTTCCTTTCCTCAAATGCTTGACTTGTTGTTGCCTGTATTTCAGGAACTAGGAATCCTCAAAGCTGCCCTCTCTGGGAATCTGGACTTCAGAATTCTCCCATCAGCTCTCTGAATGCTGAGAGTGTTGAGAATTGAAGTTCACGCAGCTGGAGGAGCCAGCTTGAGAATATTTTGTTAAAGTCTTTGCTAGACCAAGGCCTAATATTATATGATTTGTTGCTGCTTTGTTCAGCAATCAATGGCTCTTTAAAAAAAAAGTTAAACTCCATGTGTAAAACAAGATCAGGTCCCAATTTTGCCCTTTTTCCCCCTTCAGGCTGAAAGAAAAGTAGGGAGATTGGGGCCTTAGGCTTTGTTCATATTTATTGAATCCTACTGAAACAACCCGAATCGTTTCCTTTCCTCTTGAGATAGCCATCACTCAGAAATCATAACCTTCACGTTCTTTTCAGAACAAGAACAAAATAAATACATTTATATATCTCCTTGGGAAAACAAAAGAAAACCGCTTCCTGGGCTCCTTTTATAAAACTTTGAAATACTGCTGGAAGGTCCATTCTCATTTGACTCACAGAATGAAATTGTCCAAGGTGTGGAATTTTTTTTTCTTAGATCTCATGGGGCCTCCTCAGTTACTATTGAATTTTCAATCAAACCTGAAAGCTTTTTTTTTTTTTTAAGGCTTTGTGCTTCAGGGTTTCAAGTATTTTTGCAATGGAAAGCAAAATATATGCCAGTTTCCAGGGCCGCCTTTTCCTTTCCAAGATTTGCCAGTGCAGAGGACTCTAAAAAATATAGCAATAGCAATAGCAGTTAGACTTATATACCGCTTCATAGAGCTTTCAGCCTTCTCTAAGCGGTTTACAG